AGCCATGTTTACTGCTTCAGCTCTAGGAAGTTTTTGGGTCCACTCTACCATCAAGTAGTGCACTGCCTGCTCCTCATAAACGCCATTTAAGTGTTTGGTAGCAGAGTCTCTTAAAAGAGGCTTGCCAGTGTTTGCTGCCAGCATTGAGCCTACCCGGGAATAGGCGGTTATCAGGAAGTCGCTTTTGTCTTTGCGTGTGTGTGTGCGCGTGCGTGCTTGCGTGTGTAAAATTTTTTTAAAGCTTTTTCAGGTTTTATGTAGATCTGTGTTGCCCAGTGGTATAGATGCAATACGTACACAAACTTTTTCCTGCCAGCCAGTTCACAAATAGCCACATAGAGACTTATTAGTAATTATAAATGCTCAGCTAATAACTCAGGCTTGTTAATAGTTAAGTCTTACATTTCAAATTAGTCTATATTTCTTATCTACACTCTGTGACGTGGCTCAGTACCCTTTTTCAGTATGGCAAGTTTATCTCCTGCTTCCTCTGCATCTCCTTGAGACTTCTCTTCTTCGTGCTCTCTTTTTGTCTGCCAGTCCCACCTAAGCTCTACCTGTATAGCTATTGGCCAGTCAGCTTCTTTATTAATCCAATCACAGTGACATGTTTTCAGACAGTGTAAAGGAATATTCCATGGCTATGTTCATCTTCCTGTATTTCTTCTGATTTTTCTTTTTGCATAAATTTCTATTTTTTAAACATTTATTTATTTATTTATGCATGTGTGTGCCTGTGAGTGCCATCTTACACATGTGGAGGTAAAAGCATAATGTGTGGGAGTTAAATTTCCTTTCATGATGTGTGCTCTAGCATTAGCCTGACAGCAAACATCTTTCTTTACCCACTGAGCCACCTTACCAGTCCTCCATAAAACAAAAGTCACCTTGACCATTTTCTTTCTTTCTTTTTTTTTTAAAAAGATTTATTTATTTATTATGTATACAGTGTTCTGTCTGCATGTATCCCTTCAGGCCAGAAGAGGGCACCAGATCTCATTACAGATGGTTGCGAGCCACCATGTGGTTGCTGGGAATTGAACTCAGGACCTTTGGAAGAGCAAACAGTGCTCTTAACCTCTGAGCCATCTCTCCAGCCCCCGACCATTTTCTTTTTATTTACAAATTTTTTTGGTTTTTTTCAAGACAGGGTTTCTGCCTATCCTGGATCTCGTGCTGTAGACCAGACTGGTCTCGAACTCACAGAGATCCGCCTGGCTCTGCCTCTCGAGTGCTGGGATTAAAGGCGTGCGTCATCACCACCCGGCCACCATTTCCTTAAGGACTTCATATGACACTTGTTTCAGTGATCTTCAATAATTGAATGATAACTGCTCAACACCTCTGTTGGGCGTTCAGGTTGTTTTCTTTTTACCTATTTATATTGATAAATTTGAACCTATAATTTAGTGAACGGTATTTAAGATGATATGTTCTTCATGGGATGAAATTACAAGCTCAAAGGGTTTCTTAGGGTTTCTATTGTTGTGAAGAGACATCATGACAATGGCAACTCTTACAAAGGAAAATAATTGGCATGGTTTATAGTTCAGCGGTTTACTCCATTATCATCATGGTGAGATGGTACTTGAGAAGGAGCTGAGCGCTCTACATCTTTATTCACAGGCAGCAGCAGCAGATTATGTACCACATTGGCCATAGCTTGAGCATATGAGACCTCAAAGTCCACCCCCACAATGACACACTTCCTCCAACAAGGCCCCACCCCCTAGTAGTGCCACTCCCTATGGGCCAAGCATTGACATACGTGAGTCTGTGCGGACATTCCTATTCAAGCCACCACAAAGGGTTTATATGAATACTTGCCCAGTTGATGCTTTTTATAAATTGTTCCATGGTATATATATGTTTTTTCACTATTTATAAAAAGTTAAAATGTAGGAAAAATACATACAAGTGAGAATTGGGGATGTAACTGAGGTGTAGCGTGCTTGTCTAGGATGCACAGAGGCCTGGGTTGCACATAGTGATCAACATTTATAATCCTAACGGTAAGTGGGTGGAGGCAGGAGTATCAAAAGTTCATGGTTCTTCTCTAGTGCATACTGAGTTTGAAAACACTCTGGGATATATGAGACTGTCTCAAATTAATTACATTAAAAATTGAAAATATATTGTACTGTTCACTTGAGTTTTGTTTTGTTTTTTGTTTTCCAAGGCAGGGTTTCTCTGTGTATCCCTGGCTGTCCTTGAACTCACTTTGTAGACCAGGCTGGGTTCGAACTCAGAGTTCCACCTGACTTTGCCCCTTGAGTGATTAAAGGCTTGTGCCACTACTGCCCGGCAGCTAGTTGAAATGATAGATAGTATTATTAAATAAGTTTAGACTTATCTACTCATTTAGATATCTTTCGTGATCATATATAATTGAGTCTATTCCTCTCGTCCTATTAGCCCAGTAAAGTTAGTTTGTCTTTTTTGGTTTTTTGAGACAGGGTTTCTCTGTGTATCTGTGGTGCCTGTCCTAGATCTTGCTGTGTAGACTAGGCTGGCCTTGAACTCACAGAGATCTGCCTGGCTCTGCCTCCCAAGTGCTGGGATTAAAGGCGTGCACCACCACCGCCTTGCGAGTTTGTGTTTTTTAATGACTATTTTGTTTGACATTGCATAGGCTATTTTATTAAAACCAGTGTAATCCATGCACAAGCCTGTTCCACTGAGCTTTAAAATTTTTGCTTCAGGATACATTTCTTGATGTGTTGCACAGTGTCAGAGTTCTGTATTACTTCCTGGTTTGCTTTGTATTACCTGTGTCTTTGTACACAGCACCTTTTCTCTCTCTCTCTCTCTCTCTCTGTGTGTGTGTGTGTGTGTGTGTGTGTGTGTGTGTGTGTGTGTGTGTGTGTGTATACATACATACATACATATGCATATTTTGTATTTTCTGTCAGGCTTTCTGAAGTATTAGTGTTTATTTCTTCATTATCAGGCTCATTTTCTGTTAATTAGGTCAGCTTTTGTACCCTGCATTAATAATATCCAGTATGGGAAGAATATAGTAAATAAATATTGAAATGGTTTATTTACTATGGTCTCCCCCCCCCAAATAATACAAAAAAACCTCTTTATACAAAAAATTACAGTATAGTACATCTAGGCCAGAATCATTTGTACTTTATAGGTTAGATAATGTAGTCTAAGACATTTTAGTATCCATACATAAAAATCCCCTAATTCTGTTACTTTTGATTTGTGCTTTCTTTGGCTTGTGGTTTGGTTGTATACTCTGGCCTTTTTTTTTTTTTTTTTTTTTTTCCCAGTTGTTTACTGTTTATTGATAAAGTACTCCAGACTCTTAGTGGTTTGCATACGTGAGTCTCAGCAGGATAGTTCTTTATTCATCATGTCAGCTGGGTTTATTCTTGGGCCTGATTTGGTGGTGGTTATTGGTCTTATTCATATACTTGGAGCTAGGTATTGCTACAACACATTGGCAAAGGTACCTCAGTTCCTTCACATAATGGCCTTACTGTTCATTTGACCTTTCTCTCTGTTCTCTGCAAGACCACCAAGCACTCTTTTTCATCCATCCATCCATCCATCCATCCATCCATTCATTCATTCATTTTGTTTTTCTGTAAATGGATGTTTTCCCTGGATGTATGTCTGTGTGAGGATGTTGGATTCCCTGGAACTGGAGTTACAGACAGTTGTGAGCTGCAAAGTGGGTGCTGGGAATTGAACCTGGGTCCTCTGGAAGAGCATCTAATGCTCTTAACTGCTGACCCATTTCTCTAACCATACACCAAGTGTTCTTAATTGGAGCCTTCTCCAGCCCTGGGGCAATATTTTTCATTTGTTTTGTTCTCATCATGATTCCAGGATTAGGTCAATAGTTGAGGTGGAAGCTGTAAAAGCTTCTTAAAGTTCCATATCACAAGGCTAACCCAGTTTCAAGGGGTTGGAGGAAAGAATACTTTTTGATGGAACGATGATGTTCTATTGCAAAAAATGGAAGTATGGTTACTTTGGAGTAATCAATGAAAAGACTTATAAAAATTAAGTTTCTACTAAAATTTGAAAAGTTTTATTGTGTTTACATTTCCTGTTGCAGTGGATGTTTTTATAATATTGTAGTAAGAACCATATCCTTAATTTTTATGTTTTGTTCTGCTGGAATATAATGCCTTTTACGACAGGGAAAAGGAAACATTTTCATGCTTTGAACAGGTAAAGTGGTCTAAAGGGTTAAATTTATGCACTATGGGAAATAGATATATTCTACTGAATGAAAATTCATACCCAATTCTAAAAAAAATTTCATAGAAAATCTTTGACATGAAACAAAGTTGCGACTTTAATATGTAATTTCTTGTTTAACCAAATTTTCTTTTGTATTCAGATGTAGATTAGTTCAAGTGCTTCACAGTTGCATTCCTTTCACCTTGCCCTGATTTCCCTCCACCTCTACCCCCTTTTCGAGTTTCTGGTTGCTGTTAGTAGAAACGGGAATCAACCTAGGAAGCAAATTTTTGCTTGAGTTTTTGTATCTTACTGTCTAGTAACTGGACTATAATATTCAGTACATGGTGGCTGGGTATGGTGGTGCCTACAAACAGTCACAACACTGAGGTGGATGAGGTGGGGTTAGACAGGAGCCACTTTTTCTTACGAAACGAAACAAAGAATTAAATCATGTGGTAGTGATGGAGTGTGATAATATATGTGAAGTGCCCTGTAAATCTTAAAGTGCTATTTATAAGAAAACAAAACACAAAGGTTTTTAACAAGAAAAAAATGTCTGTATTTGCTATGTATATATAAATACAGCAAATAGTCACAGGCTTCAGTTATTTATTGTTAGTGCTTAAATTGAACAAAAATAAGGGTAATTTTAAAATAATTTTTTATCCATAACAACTGATAAAAGGGGTGATTTTAAAAATTTTTTTCACAAAGGTTGTAAAAGAATATTACATATATATGTATATATGAATCATTGTTTAATTTTAAAACATGTTACTACTGTTTATTTTTAGAAATATAAAGAAAAGGACAAACACAAACAAAAACACAAGAAGCAACCAGAACCATCACCTGCCTTGGTTCCTTCTTTGACTGTTACTACAGAAAAAGTAAGATTGAAGTATCAAATTTTGTCTTGTATACTAACTCATGAAATACTGGTTCTTCAGAGGAGTCTTCTTTCCCAGTTCTCTGATGACAGTTTTACCCACCTGTCCAGCCATGTGTCATGCACGTAGAACTATGACCTTTTCAGTCCTTTATGCTGCTCTGTTTGCTCTGTCCTTGTCCCAAGTGAACTAAGAAATAGGGTGTAACTCAGACTTCAGCTACCTGTGACTTTGAAATCATGCCTCACCACTTAATAATTGAACCTTAGGTGAATTTACCTCTCTGCAACTCTATTTCAATACTTACCTGTAAAGTATGGGAATAATAATTGAAATTGAGTAAGATAAAATATTTAATAGTATTAATATTATTTAAATGTAATTAAAAGCATTTAAAGAACACACACATCTGGTTCATAGTGTTAGGTATTATTTAGATTATCATATGATGAATTTGAAAACAGAACAGAAGTGGGGTCATGTGGCTGGGACATAGTGGCAAGTGAGGAGGTGTATGTAGTTGGAGATGAGGCCAGTGGAAGCGCCTCATCACAAAGGGCTAGCTAGATAAGCCAGCATAAAGAGCTTGTCTCATAGTGTTTTATAAGGACTTTTGGTTGCTTTGCTGAAGGGGTGGTGGTGGGAAGAATAGAATCTAGGGAGGCTGAGAAGAGGTTATTAAAATAGCACTGAAGGTGGCATTAAAACTTGAGATAGCAAGAGGTGATCACATTTTGAATGCATTCAAACATGAACCCTTGTGACTTTCTAAAAGATAAGTTAAGAATCCTCATGTTTGTAGGTTTTGGTATCAGAGATTGTTACTATAGTTCAGCAGTTTAAAATAAAATAAAAATTTATCATGTCCCTGGTTCTGTTTGCAAGATAGTCTGGATACATTCTACTGGTTTATTTATCACAGGTAAAGGCTAAAATCAAGGTGTGGGTTCTTACTGGAAAGAATCTTCTAAACTCATTCAAGTTCTTCAAAGAATTTAGTTCCTTTTGGTTGTAGAATTGAGGGTCCCATTTCTATGTCAGCCCCTCCGCCCAACAGCCTACTCTTCTCTCCTAGTGCCTCTCTCTCCCTGGTCAGGTTCTTCATCCCAGAGCTAGTAACATCACATTTGAAATTTTTCTAACTTTACCTCTACCGTGTCTTCTGCTTTTAATTAATTTACAGTCTTTTTGTACATTCTGAACCAGATTGTCTTCTTTTCATGGTGGAACAAGACGTTGCCAAGGAAGGTGAAAGGAGAAAAGCCTTGACTCTTGGTCTCTGGAGACTTAGTTTCTGTGTCAGTGTTTTTCTAAAAAGTTCCTAGATGCTTGTAATCATCAATTTATTTCTGTTTTTAAACTGGTGACAAATTGCGCCTGACAATTTAAAAAAAAGTAATCTTAATAGATTCGTTACTTTTTATAATTATTAGAAGACATAGTCGTTCTTTCTGCCATCATTGCAAATAACTTAGGGTTTTAGTTTTGCAGCCCCTTCCCATAACTTAAAATTGTGTGTGTGTCTGTGCATGTGCTCATAAGCTTGCAGAGGGTCTCCACACCCCAGAAGTTTTTCTGTAGTTAGTGAGATTTCCTTCTTGGAATGTTTATAGGAGGGGATAAAGAAGATCGCCCTCCCTCCCTGTTCCTGTCTTCCTTTCATTTTTGTATTGTAAAGTTAGAATACTAGGCTTCACTCATGCTAGGCGAGTGGTTTTTAACTGAGCTACAGCCCCAGCCCCAGCCCTCTAAGACTCTTTTTTTTTCACCTCCCCTCCCCCCCAAGACTAGGTTTCTCTGTGGAGCCCTGGCTATTCTGGAACTCACTCTGTAGATCAGGCTGGCCTCGAACTCACAGAGATCCTCCTGCTTCTGCCTCCCAAGTGCTGGGATTAAAGGTGTGTGCCACCACCACCTGTCAAGACTTTTTGAATGTAGAACAAAAGTATTTTTGTAAAATGAATTTCTTTCCTATGTGTAATTTTTATACTTTAAAATTTTAGCGATTAATATTGTAAGAAATTTTATGAACTTTTGTTACAATGAAGTCAAAGTATAAATTTATAAAAGCCATTTTCTTTTTGTTCTTTCCCTGTACTATCCACTGAGACAGTTATATTTGAAAATTAAGTTTTTCCTTTTTCTTTCTTTTTTTTTTTATTTGTTTGTTTGTTTTGAGACCAGGTTTTTCTGTGTATCCCTCAGTGTTCTGTAGATCAAGTTGGCCTCTCTACCTCAGAGATCTGCCTGCCTTTCCCCTAGTGCTGGGATTAAAGGCATGTGCTACCAACACCAGGCTACTTTTTAAACTAATCTTAACTTGGAGGAAATATAAATGCTAATCTTATCATAAAGTTCAGTATATCAGCTACGTTGGGTATTTTGTTACTCTGTTTAGTTATAATCATTATATAATAAATTATACACATTTAAAGTAAAACAGTATCAAAATAAAAAAGATGAAGCTAAGTAGGAAGCAGGTCTCAGTCAGTTATTAGCCTGCCTTGGCTGGAATTGCACAGAATGCCACCTGCCTCTGCTTCCTGAGTGCTAGGGTTAAAGGTGTGTGCAGCCACACGGAAAAAGTGGCATTTTTGATAAATTTTCATGTGCATGTATTAATAAAACTACCACCACAGTTTTAGGCAAAATTTCTTTGTAATGTCTTTTATACTTCTGTGTCTTCCCACCCCTGCTCAGGTAACTGCCAGTCTGCTTTTGTTTTTGTTTTTGTTTTTCTCTTTGTCTTTCTGTTTCGAGACAGGGTTTCTCTGTGAAATAGAGAAACAGCCAGTTCCTGGCTGTCCCAACTCACTTTGTTTACCAGGCTGTCTCCAACTCAGAGAGATCTGCCTGCCTCTGCCTCCCAAGTGCTGAGAATAAAGGTGTGCACCACCATTGCCTGGCCTCCAATCTGCTTTTTGAAATTTTAAATTAGCTTGAATCCTTTAGGAAGTTTAAAAGGAGAAACATACAGCATGACACCCCCCCCCTTCGGTTAGTTCATTCAGCATAAAATTTGAACCATGTGATGTGTGTCAACAGTTGAATCATTCCTGTAGTTGTCTGCTTCCCTGTTGTGTGGATATAGCAGCCTGCTTACTGATTCAATAGTTGGTAATATCTATCTCAGTGTCTGGTTGTGGGCTATTACAAGTAAAGCTGCTGTGAGCATATTACAAGTCTTACATAGATACATGCTTTCATATCTCTTTATGAATTCCAAGGAGTGGAAGGAAGGTTGGGTTGTTTAGTGTGTAGTTGTTTGGTGACTTACTATGGTAAGTGTATATATTAATATTTTTAGCACTGCCAAAGTATTTACAAAGTGTTTGTACCATTTTAACATTTTCATCAGCAATGTACGAGAATTTGTAATTCTTCTATATTCTCTGCAATATGGTTGCTGTATGGCTAGTATTACTAATTTTAACTATTCTAGTGACCATATAGTGGTATTTCATCGTGGTTTTGGTTTGCATTATATATATATATAGTTATATAAAATTGTATTGGGGGTTGAACCTCTGGATCTTAAAAATGCTAAGCAGTACTCTACCACTAAATTGTGTCTTCTACCCTAGCCTGCCTTTTTTTTTTTAATCTAATTTTTTGAGTATCAATTTAGGCAAGTCTGGCCTTGTACTGAGGATGACCTTGAACTTTTGATCCTTCTGCTTCCACCTCCAGAGTTCTGGGTTTAGAGATAGGTTGTACCATCCCTGGATCATGGTTAGTCAGGCACTTAAGTCCTGGTCTATGACTTTTATTGTAAGAAAGGCCTAATTATGTTCATTGCTTTTTTCTGCTCAGAATTTGCCAATTGGTTTTGATGGTGAAATGCCCATTCAGATCTCACCACTGCTTGCCCCTTTTCATTGTTCTGTGAGACTTTCTATTCTGGTTGCAGTTGTTTATCAGAATCCTCATAGCTCTATCAAATTGAGAAATTTTCCTCTTTCTAGTTTAAGAGCTTTTTTTTTTTTTTTTAAATTGTGAATGAATTTTTTTTTCAAGTAGTAGGTGATTTTTCTTAAGTTTATTAATGTGACAGGTTATATGACTTGTTTTTCTGCCTGTCCGTCCGTCCATCCATCTATCCATCCATCCATCCAAGACAAGGCTTAACTGTGTAGCCCTGGCTGTCCTGGAATTTGCTCTGTAGACCAGGCTGGCCTTGAACTCCAAGAGATCCTCTTGCCTCCCAAGTGCTGGGATTAAAGGTATGAGCCACAACTGCCTGGTTTGTCCTTTTCATTCTTAATATTAACTACTGCTTTTTTTGGGATTAGTGTTGGCTTACCTTTATTTATCCGTTTCCTTACTATTTCCTTATTTATCCATGTGTGTCTGTACTTGATGTCGTAGTTACTTTTTTCCTTTCTTTTTTCGTTTTTCCTTTCCTTTCCTTTCCTTTCCTTTCCTTTCCTTTCCTTTCCTTTCCTTTCCTTTCCTTTCCTTTCCTTTCCTTTCCTTTCCTTTCCTTTCCTTCTTTCCCCCTTTCCCCTTTCCCCTTTCCCCTTTCCCCTTTCCCCTTTTTCCTTTCCTTTCCTTTCCCCTTTCCTTTCCTTTTTCCTTTTTCCCCTCCCCCCCTTTCAACAGGGTTTCTCTGTGAAACAGCCCTGGCTGTCCTGGAACTCACTCTGTAGACCAGGCTGGCCTTCAACTCACAGAGATCCGCCTGCCTCTGCCTCCCGAGTGCTGGGATTAAAAGTGTCGGCCACCATCTCCAGGCTTTGGTTACTTTTCTTTTGTGATAACTATATTGACAAAGGCAACTCAAGAAAAATAGCGTATTCTGGTTCATAGTTCAGGGTACTGTACATCCTGCAGTTGTAGGAGCCTGAGGCAGAAGCTTGTCACATGGCACCTGCAGTAAACACAGAGGGAAATGGATGTCTGTGCTGAGCACTTCCATTTTTAGAGTCCAGGATACTAGACTAAGGAGTGTAGCTGCCTGCAATTATGAAGCCTTCCTACCCCAATTAACCTGACCAAGA